GTTGTTTCGCCATGAGGCAGAAGGAAGGTGGTGATACTTCAGTCACCGATACCATGATCGGCTTTGCGCAGGAGGAGTTCAAAACCCGGGATGAATTGATCGAGGAACTTAAAAAGCAGGCCGCCGCCGATGACGACGACGAGGACGATGACGATGACGACGATGACGACAACGAGGCCGGGACAACAAAGCTGGGGAGTCTGGTTCCAAAGTAAAGAAAGGCGACAGGCGACAGGCGACAGGCGACAAGCTTGCAATATTCGCAGCACTGCGGGAGCCTGCCCAGGCCCCGGACGACAGCAGAGACACCAAGGACAAGGCCAGGACTACCGAGACCGAATCTGTGCAGCAGGAGCGGATTTCTAGATGTTGCTGATGGCTGTTGGCTGACCATGAGTCATAATCCTTTCGGTGTGAAGTCAGTGTGAAGTGTTGTCAGTGTCGCATTGGCAAGTCTGCTGCGCAACATCTCGCAGGACTCTGAACGTGTATCCTGCCCAGTGGATGTGGCAGAGCTTCTGAAGCTGACAGAGGAGAAGCTTCGCGACCATTTGAGTGAACTCTCGGGTGCTCAGATCGAATCGGAGCTCGGAGACAATGACGGGAACGTGCCCGACGACTACAAGTTCGGGGATCCCGACGGCGACCAATTGGAGGTGGTGGGTGAGCCCGAGACCCAGAACATGGATGTGACCGACAACGTTGGATCCAAGCGGAAGGCAACCAATGCATGGGTTCGCACTCATAGCGATCGCACAGTGTGACACTGTCAATGACACGGTTCATCATTCTTCGTTACGATGTGTGCTCTTCGCTGTCCGCAGGAGCCGGACCATCCGAATGCGAATCCGGATGATGCCGGTGCCGGTGAGCCGAAAAAAAACAAAGCTGCAGCAGCTGGGTGTCGCCCGAAGGCGAAAGCAAAGCCCACAGCCAAAGCCCAGGCGCATAACAATCGGTGACAGCACAGGTGGTGAGAAGGGTAGCCTCCTTAGTGAGTTCAGGCTGCGGCTGCAGCTTGCGAGACTAAAGCCAGCACGAAGCGGAAGGACCCGGGGTCTGGGGCCAGTCTGGGGCGTTTGACAGGCCGTGTTGCTGGTCAATCGTTAGGATTCCTCTGAAGCCATAGAGCTTTACACGACAGATCAGATGAGTCAGATGAGAGGAGCAAGGATCAGAGAAGAGCGAAGCTGATCCCAAGTCCAAGGCCTTGTGTTGTTGTCATGTCATGCTTCAGTATCAGTGATTCAGAGATTCATGGCACCTACAGCACAACCGTACGTTTCGTGGTGGAATATTGTTTGTTGAATTGTAATCTTGGGCCGTCAGCCTCCACCTTTCGTGCAGGCCAGAAGGAAAAAGGATGATGACTTTAAGCCTATCCCGTTGACGCCTGCACGCAAAGCCAAGTACCAGCCATACTGGGGCGGCACTCCCTGGAAAGGTGCGATGCCCGAGGCCGCGCAAGCAAGTGCAATGTCAGTCCAATATGTGAAGTCAATCGTCAGTCGTCATCGCTGCAGTCAGCCTTTCATATTTTGATTCGTAAAAGTCTCAAGCCGGGCCTTCTCTGGTCACAACCTGAAATCCCAATAAGTAGTCTTAAGCCTTGTAAAGTCGTAATCCATATTTTATGTTATGGTGATATAAACCTTGTCTGTTTGCGTCCGCCATGCATTCGAACTTCATTCGAATCTCATTGGCGAAACAATAAACTCTTACACCATGTGGGCTCGTGGACCATGCCATTTGTTCCAACCTGTACGGCTTCGAACAGTCCGGGCAGCTTTCGGAAGACCCCTGAACCGTGTGTGTAATCTGTAAAACTTCAGGAGTCGACGCCGACACCGGCACCGGTGCTGGCGGGAGCCGAGTCCCAGTTGCCAGGCGAGGATGCAGAGGAATCCGAGGAGGTCGAGGATGTCGCCGAGGCCGAGGTTAGGAGACCAAATAAAATAACATCGGCCTCAGTGTTGAGTCTGGAGTCATCCCAAACACCCAAATTACAAGCTCCATAACACCCAATCCGAATCCCTAAACAAGAGTAAGCCGTGAGCCGCGAACGGAAACACTAGGCCTTAGGACAGTGAGCATGCCAGGATCCTTCGTCGGCAAAGGATAAAAAGGCCAACAAAGACAAGAAGGACAAGACAGGCAAAAAAGACAAAAAGGACACGAAGGACAAAAAGGACAAAAAGGACAAAAAGGACAAGAAAGAAAAGGGTGCAAAGGACCAGGACGACGAGGTTCAGGAGTTCTGGGCTTTGGGTATTTGGTTTATGCGGTTTTGCGGCACTCGCTGCTTTGCTTGGTTGTGCTTGTGACCGTACCAGCGCTAGGCTGGAAAGACAAAGAAAGGAAAGAAGCACAAGGCCGCCAAAGACACGGGTGCTGAGGATGCGAAGGTCAGCGAGACCGCACAGAAATCCTTGAGCAAGGTTTTTTCCGACTGAGAGTCACAGAATAGTTTAGCACTCGCAGCTGACCGATCTTTCAGCATCTGAACCAAACACATCCCCTGACACCCTGACAGTTCGGGCCTAGAAGCTGCACTTGGCCGTCAAATTCTGTCAGCTGCCAACTCTTGGGTTTCCTGTTCTGATTCCGAGCTGGGCAGTTGAGATGTAGCTACCAAACACTATGTTGACACAATGGCATTGGTGCGATGGCTTGGGTTCATGAGCGGGATGACGAAGATCCGAGACGGGTCGTTCGAGTCGCTGGCCAACCACCGGGCCTCCGTGGCATTGTCATGACTGTTTTTGCAACTGCTTCGAGCTGGACGAGAAAACATGTGCGACACTTTTCAGGTGTTGTGTGTAGGGTGTAGGCGTTGCGTGACTGCTGTGTAAGACTAAACATGTGGAGCACTTGAGCATATTGGAAGGGTTTGTACTTTGAGAAGTGGACCCATACGCCATTTTTAAAGGTGGACTCTCATCACCCAGCTTAACTTGGTCGCATGTCTCCCAACTGTGCCTTCATTGCCAAAGCAACAAGATTGAACTTGGTGGCATAATCAGCAGCCCAGAACGAACTTTCCACTAAACCCGACAGTCCGACCATGGCCGGGGAAATCCAATTCCGCAAACCCACAATCACGATCCACAGTACAAGCCTCTAGGCAAGAGGTGGACTTCTGAGATCTGATCAGGTGGAGAGCGCCAATGTCGAGGTCTACGACGATGGCGATGATGATGAATGTGACGATGATGTCGGTGTTGTTACTCCTGTCGCCACCGCTGTTGTTGCGGCGGCTAGGTTCGTAGGTTGTAAGCGTAGGTTGTGGTTGTACCTTGTGTGTTGTTGCTGTTGCTGTGTTTCTACCGTTTTCGTGGTTGGTAGTGCAGTAGCATGAACCAATTGCAATGGGGCAACGTGTGAGCATCCGCGGGGTACAGTCGAAATTTCAGTGTTTGGATCAGATGTTTGCCTCCTCATGTGCTCAATGGACGCCTTAGGTTTTGGATCGAATTTGTGTTTCTTCATATATGCTCATAATGAGGGGACTTAGAAGACACATCGATGTCACATCGACTCAATAAACTGCATGCATATTTCTGGTTTTGGTGTGCTTTGCCCCTGATCGGGTCCATGTCTATCTGTTCTCATTTTTACTCTGCTCGGAAACGATTTGGGCTTATTCCCGAAGCTCACGGCTTAATTACTGCAGGCACCCCTTGTTTCCGGAATTTGCCAATCCAAACTGTGAGGAATCTTGCAAAGACGTTGTTGGCGACGGTGGAACAAAGGAGTGGAACGGCCATCGGATCTGATGTCCCGCTTTATAGCTGGGCGTACAGACATGCAGCATGGCTGCATAACAGGTTTCATGTGGGAAGAGATGGCAGAACGGCGTTTGAAGCAACGGTTGACAGAACGTACAAAGGAAAGTTGGCCCCGTTCGGGTCAGCAGTGTTTGGAAAGGCAGTGCCAAAGACAAAAGAGAAAGGAGAACCTTGGGAAAAAGGAGTCTTTCTGGGAAAAGACTATGCGAGCAATTTGAACCTTACTGGCACAGGTCGAGGAGTGATTAAAGCAAGAACAATGAGAAGATGTGCTGAAGCATATCAGCCGGAGCTTTTGCAACTTTCGGTTGGAGCTCCATGGGACCATCAGCTGAAGGCTTTGAGGTTCAAGAAGAAAAGAGTTGTGCCTATTGATGATGGGCCAGGATTGCCAAGTGTGATTTGTCACGGACATGCGTACATGTGCTTCTGTGTCTTGGTTAGGATTCACGCCAACTTTGTCTCACTGCGCAGCTTGACAGCTCAAGACCGACTCTGCGTCAGGTCCAGCAAAAGGCCCGCCTTCACTTAGGGTAGTGTTGGTGTTTCCTTTCCGCTGAGCGTCAATCTTACGGTTTTAATCTCTGATCATCCTTGCTTTGCCTGCTGCCTTGCCTTTATCTACGATTGGTTGCCTTGGGCTTTGTGACCGAGAGTTGAGTGGAATCCTCCGCTTTTCACAGGTTATCAGCCGTAGGGCCTCCACATCCGATTGTGGATTGCTGCTTCGCTGCTGCTGCTTGGCACTCGGACCGCCTGATCCAATCAGCGTCCGATCACTACCGTTTTCCTGGCTCAGACCAAGTTCGGAACTTGTGATTGGCCGCGCCACCGAGAGAATGGCGACTCCGATCGGTTCTCCCCGTGTCCCCTCGACTGTCGGTTCTTCACTAGTGACGCCAGTTGCTCGGGATGTCGTGGAGCCCGATGATAGTGCCCACGCATCTCGCTGCACTGCGCCCGCCTCGCACGCTTCGCTCGCTCGCTCTGCTTCGCTGCTTGCTTCGCCGCCTGCTGAGGACGATCAGAGAGCTCAGCACCATGCGCCGCCTTTGCCATGCTCTGCTGCTGCTTTCGCAACGCCTGGCACGATGCCCGCCGGCATGCTGCCTGCTTCTGCCACTGCTCGTGCTTTGCCTTTGTTGCCTGCCTTTTCTGCGTCCGCTGCTCCTGCTGCTTCCGCACCTACTCCTCTTCCGACCGATCTTTCAGCTTGTCCTCTGTCCCTTCGCGGGGATCCAGAGGGCGCTCGGGCCCTTTTTGGGTCCGGGCCGGACGGCCGTGGTCCACCGATATCGGACCCGGCGTCCTTCCGTCCACCGCGCCCCGATTCCTATGGGCCGGTGGCTGGCCGCGGTGGAGCCTTGCTCCCCGATGAGCCCATGAGCGAGCATCCGGGTGCACCCCATGATTCCGTCGCAACGATTACCGCGGCGGGTCATGGTGGTGCCGCCCCCGCCATCGATAACGGCGGGTGGCATACCGGACCCTGTGCTGTCAGGGCGCTGGTCGATGAAGCCATTGGGTCGGAAGCATCCGCGCGCATCGCCGCCGATATTCTGGCGATCGCGCAGGGTGTGACCAACACCCAGGCCGACCTCGATATACTGAGGAACGGCGTCTCGGATATCACCGAAGCGCTTGAGAGCAAGATCCGAGACATGTGGGAGCTTCTTCAGGCCGAATTGAGGAAAGAGCGTGAGCTGTTCATGCAGTTTCAGGACTCTTTCCGCGAGAGGCGGATTTCTGATCACGAGACGCTTGAAGATCATTTTGCGAAGCTCACCTCGACGATCAATGATCGACTTATTGAGTTCGATGAGCGGATCCATCAGTTCAACGAAAAGCGTGCTGGATCGCTATCCATGCAGCTTGCCGAGACGATCCGCCACATCAAGCAGTACCCAGACGCGCTGCGGCAGATTCAGATCAATATCTCTAATGCCGAAGCGCGCGTTGCTGCTGTGGAGCAGAATGCTACTCACCGCATCGAGGTCATCAGATCCGAGATGAGTCGCGCTCTCTACGATCACAAGGAGAGTAACCGAGCTCATATCGATCAGCTGACTGCTCGAATCCAGCACCTCGAGAACGCTCATGTCCGCAGAGGCGGTTCTGATAGATCGACGCCTTCGCGTCCAGAACGAACGCAGTTCTTCGATATCAGTGACCATGGTGGGGATATTCCACGCCCTGCGGACCTGCCGCCAGTTCCAGGTGCTCTATTCCCTGGCGGACCGACTACGGCCATTCCGAGGTCTTCCCTGTTGGGTCCGATCGATCATGGCTCTCCGCCGGGATGCAATGCTGCGCCTGCTGAAAAGGCCTCAACGGTTCACTCTCAGACGAGTGGAATCAATCTCGATGAAATTCTGAGGCGAGCGCAGCAACGAGTCGCTGACGAACAACCTGCCGAAAGTCGTGGGCAAAATTCTCCTGTTGAGCCCATCCGACATAATTTCGGTCAAACGTCGGCGTGTTTTTCAGGAAGATCGCCGAATCAGGCCGTTCCTTCCGCAAATGCCGCCGGAGCGACTTCCGGTCAGATTCCGAGCCTCAGGCCATTTCAAGTCGATGATGCTCCTCGCGCTGACATCCGACACGCTCCTGAAGCCCGGAGCTTCGCTCCTGAACCCAGGTCAAGCCGACCTTCCCATGCCAAATCTCCTATGACACTCGAACTGTCCCGGCAGGGAAGGGGCCGTCACGATGGTATGATGCGATGCTTGGCCGATCGAATCTCATTGGCAACGGCGCTGGCGTACCAATTCTCCATAGTGAGACCGGTACTTTTACACTTGCGCCGAACACGAGTGTTACTGCGACGCTTCAGCATGATGCGGCCAATGATGCCATGCCCCCGATGCCCACCTTCAGTGCCAGAACGTCCATTCCTGCACCCAGTGCCGCGCCATCCGGATGTGGCGGACCGCCTCCCGCGCATAACGGAGGCGGCGGTTATTCTGGCGGTGATGGCCCCAACGATAATGGGGGTGCATATGGAGGTGGCTTCGGAGGACATGGGCACCACGGGTCCGGTCTTGGTCCCGGTGGCGGTGGTGGCCCACCCGACGGCCCACCTGGTGGTCCGCCTGGTGGTGGTGGCCCTCCTGACGGGAGTGGTCCGCCCGATGGCGGCCTTGATCCGCCTAGCATCAGGCCCACCGGTCGGCCGAGCGGGAACGATACGTTCCAGTGCGGGCGATGCACCGGAACTTTCCCGACCATCGTGCGACGGTCGTGCATCTCTTGCCGTTTCTCGTGTTGCAACGGTTGTTGCCGAGATCCTTTGAGAATCTGTCTCGTGTGTCTTGAGAGACAGACTGGGAATCCACCTGGTCCCAACGATTCGGGATTCGGTGGACCCAGCCAAGAAGGCGAAGTGCAAGTCCTTTCGTCTCGATCCTGAGCCGGAGCCTGCTCAGTTGCGACGCTGGATCGTCGATATGAAAGAGCGAGTCGCGAATGCATTCGCCTACGATCCAGGATACGCACTATCATGGGTTGAGATTCCCGATGGTACACGGTATGAGGATCTTCTCGATGAGTGCAAGTACGGAATGCTTGAAAACGAATGCAACTCTGCATTCCGTGAGTGCGTCCGATCTATTGCACTGAAGAATAAGATCCAGACCGAGACCGAGCGCATGCATACGATAAACCGGCGACTCGGAAGTAGGCAGATCTTGTGGCTATTGTATGATTTCCTTCGACCACATGTTACCGGCGATTCGACTTTCAAGCTCGTTGACCTGATGAAGACCACGATTGATCGGTTTACTCATGGATCCGAGCAGGAAAGGTTGGAAGCCTTCTCCAATCGGTGGGATCATGTTCTCGCTGGTATCTCAGTCGATCGCCCCGAGGATCCTGTTCTTTGCGCTCTCTTTTATGAGCAGGTGCGTGAGTTCCGCTGTCTCGAGCTCGACATGCAGCTATGGGACAGGGACGTATCCGTACGGAACTACGCATACTTGCGAACCGTCTGCGTCAATGCGATTACAACATGGCGCCGACGACGCAACCAGGAGAAGATGTACACCGCTACCAGGTCTACTTCTGCGCAGAGACGATACGCTGCACCTGCGCACGGCAGCCCGCGCAGATCTTCATCCCGAGATCAAGGGGGGTCAAGATCGCCTGGGCGTCGTGACTCCAGAAGGGGGAGTCCGTACCGAAGGAGCTCGCCGAGGCGCTCGTCACCCAGACGATCCTCCCCGCGACGCGGATCGCCAAGACGATATTCCCGCAGTCCGGGACGAGCAGCTCCCGCACCGACTCGCCCAATGTCGCGATCCCCGCGAGGACGGGAAATCTGCTACGATTTCAAGAAAGGCAGATGCACGCGAGGAAGCGGATGCAAGTTCTCCCATAACCTGAAGGGAACAAGCTCCTCGCCGAAGGGTTTCCCGCCTCGATCGCAATCACCGATCTCAAAGGAGTCTGGTATTTGCTTCTACTTTGCGCGAGGCACTTGCTCGAGAGGAGACAAGTGTCCTTATAAGCATGTGAAGCCGGGTGCCCCAGCTGAGAGCACCCCTGCTGCCGCTCCTGCGCCTGCTGAGCCCGCGCCGACGTCAAGGCGGGTTGACAGCCCGGCGCCCACGCCCTCGGATTTTTGAGAGGGGCGTGCCGCAACCCTCAGGCAATGACAGCGTCCTCCTATGGAGACTTCGCCTTCGCTTGCGTTGCATCATTCGATATGGCATGTCCGTCAGTCAAGCGGAAGACAGTATCGTTTGGGAATACTGAGACCCGCGTGATAGAGTCTTCTTTCCCGGAGCCAAACTTCGGTCCCGTCAATCGCGAGAGGAATTTGAACTATTCGTGGCCGGAAGATATCCGTGGTCTGAATAGTGCTCGCGAAAGGCGAAGGGCGCACATGAAGGCTGTGCTTTGGAGAGAGCAGGTTTTGCTCGATGACGTTGATGCCAAAACGCTAGGTAATGATGCTTGTGTTCTTGAGCTCACGCTTTCTCAGCGGAGCGCTTGCGAGGTCTTTGCTGCTGCTGTCAAGTCTATTAAGAGGGTCCGGAGACTAATGCTCGACTCCGGTTGCGGTATAGACCTTATTGGTCTCGGTGATCTGTCCCGCGAGGAAAGGGACCTGATAGTTCAGAATGCTAAGATCAGCCTTAGGACCGCCAATGGGAAAACTAACACCAAAGGTGTTGCTCATATGCGCATTGACGGCCTCGATGAGCTGATTGAAGCTTACGTGCTGGAGAGCACACCAAGTCTTCTTTCCCTAGGGAAACGATGCAAGGAGCTTGGTTACCGATTTATCTGGGAACCCTTTTGTGATCCGATATTCTTTGATCCCAAAGGAAGACAACTCAAGATTGATGTTATCAATAACATCCCCTACCTCGCTCCGAGCGAAACTGAGGTAGTCGCGGGTCGACCTGATCTCCCTCGTGTGTATCCGGCACTCCCAGCACCGATCATTATTCACGAGAAAATCGTGGCTGCGGGTGAAGAACCTGTGGGCGAGCTAGACGACATTGGTGAGCTCGATCTTGATATGCCTGGTGCTAAGAGTGCCCAGAAAGATGCACCTGACGATATCAAGAAGGTGCCTAACAAGCCTAAGCATCAGTCGCCGCCCGATGAACCGAGAGCGCGCGATCTGAGGGAGGAGGCTAAGTCCATCCGTCACCTTATGACCCATCTACCTAAGAATCCCTACTGCGATGCATGCCAACGTGCAAAGATGGAAAACGTTAAGTCGTTTCGCCAAGACTCACCACGCGATAAAGGGTTTGAGAAATTTGGCGAGCACGTCACCATCGATACTATGGTGTTGCACGGGCTTGGCAACCGTGGGAATAATGGGGAAACAGATGCTGTTGTCTTCTATGATCTAGCGACCGAGTGGTTAGAGAGTGTTCCCGTCAAGGGAAGGACAAATGCCGACACGCTTCGAGCGTTCCAGCAGGTCTTCGGCGACCTTCAAGATGTGAACTCGTTCTCCATGGATGTGGAGAGAAGGTATGCACCGTCTGAGATCCGGGAAATCTACTGTGATAAAGCCCGTGAGTTCATATCAACCTGCAAAAGAGTCGGCATCTCTGTAAAACATTCCACTCCTGGCATGCCTCGCACTAATGCCATTGCCGAGAGCAAGGTGAAGCTCGTCCTTCATGGCGCACGAGTGGCGCTTCGACAAGCGGGACTGAGCGCCAAATTCTGGCCATACGCATGCAAGCACTTTTGCCATGCTCGCAACATCGAGTTACGCGAAGGACAAAGTGCGTATTCGCTACGATTTAATGGTGCCGAATTTGACGGTCAGGTTCTCCCATTCGGATGTCTTGTAGACTTCTATCCCACGCCGGCACGAAAGCAAACCCGACGTAGTCAGAAAGATGAAGTCGTACTCGGCGATGGTGAGGAATATGCCGTACCTGCGCCTGGAGATGATGGATTGGTCGAAGTCGAAGTTGGATTCGATGATGATGGTTATCTCGAGTGGATCGACGATGGAGACGACGATCGACCTGGATCCCTCCAAGGACCAAACATGGATCAACGCCTATCATCCTACCAGCGCCCCAGCAAATTCTCTCCCACGAGTAAACCCGGTGTGTTTCTGGGTTACCACTTCGAGAATGGGGGCAGGTGGGACGGTGACTATATAGTCGCCGACCTTGAAGATTTCAAGCGCGACGCACTGCGTGCGAGCGTCCATCAGGTCAAGAAGCTATACTGCTCACCCAAGGAGCGATGGACATTTCCGATGCTGGCTGTATACGATAAACAGACACGATCAGTCTGCATCAACGATCCCGCGATGCATTCTAATGTGCCTAAGCCAAGTGAGCGTCTTGACGCCTCCGACATGCTCGATCTCGAAGATATCGATGAAATCTTCGCCCTTGATGAGTCAACGCGAATGACCGATGATGATATTCGCCAAGCTCGCGAGGCTGAGTTACGAGCGGAGTCCTCTCATGGAGGAGGTGTTGACTACTGGGAGTATGACCCATCTGTGCATAAATGGACGTATCACGTCGTTGTTCCCAGAAAAGCGATGGTCCATCCCAGTAAGACCCCCGGTTCCGTCGGGGAATCGCCTGATCCATGGAAGCTGAGCACGGTGCGTATATCACATGTTCAATACAAGGACAAAAGCCCGGTTACGATCTATGAGACCGGGTATGCCTTCGGCAAAACAAGACTCATGCAGCTCTGGACCGGCACTGTCGAATTTTATGATGACGGCTATGCCCCACCCAAGAGGAAGTTACCTCCTTACCACGGGTCGGAGATCCTGGAAGGCGAGGGGGGTTTGCCTTATCGTCAGAGTGTGCCGCGTTCCGAGCGGGCATATATCGATTCAGAATCCTGGCGCAGTATGAACCGCGCCGAACGGGAGGGATATGTAGAGGCTGAGCGCCGAGAAGCAGAGTCTCATGCCATGTCCCGCGAGGATTCTCGCGATGCTGCTCCTGTCGACATCGCTTACGATTCTGAATATGAGTCGGGTGCCGAACGGCATGACAAGGATTACTGGTATCACGATGTCGCAGCTGGCACGATCACCCGATTTCATGTGGTCGAGCGCCGAGCGCGCTTCAACCCTACCTCCGTCAAAGATTGTCCCGTAGACCCTACAACATTGACCGATGTCAGGATGACTATGGCCATGACTGACGGTACCGAGTTCACATTGCAGGACTCATGGAGATCATCCGACGCTCGGTCTCTGCCGTGTCGATGGACGGGAAAGACGGTCTTCGTTATCGGTTCTTCCGCCAAAACGCAGATTAAAGTTCGAACCCGTATGCCGAACGCCGACGACACGGGGCGCCGCGTGCAGACTGCGAATGGCTATTATGGACACGCATTGCGTGCAAAGGGCCGTACTATCGTACCTGCCAAATCTCGCGCCTGTGTCGTTACGGATCTCGAGTTTGAGCCCCCGGGTGGTATGTCCGCCCGTCTTCAGCCGCTTCGCGGCAGTGGCCTCGATGTTTGCCCGGCCATGTACACATACAATGAAGGGGCAACTCAGTCCGGTGTTGACGTCCTTAATCCTACCGACTATGATATTATAGTCGAGCCCGGACAAGACGTTGCTGTGGTTCAGTTTTACACTTCCGTTCTGGCAGCGGTTGAACTCGATTTCACCGCAGAAGACGTGGCATGTGATGTTTCTGCACCGGTTGAACCATCCGAAGACGGCCACGCTGTTGATACAGCACCTGCAATGCCTGTTCGCCCTGATCTTCACTCACACCGATCTCCCGATTCATCGGTCTTCTTCTACAGTGCGTGTGTTGCACGGCCCGTTGACCAAAAAGAGCGTGCCGCTAATCCCAAGGCGACAGCCGCCCTTGACAAGGAGTGGAATAAGCTCATCAACCAAGGATGTTGGGATTACGCATCCGTGCGTGAGTGGCGCGATGTGTCTAACGAGGCTATGGCGCAAGGGGAAACGGCCCACGTTGGCCGTATCTTCGATATATGCGTTGAGAAGAATTCCGAGCTTCCGGAGTCCGACCCTAATCGCAAATTTAAGGGTCGAGTGGTGTTCGAAGGATGTCATGTCAAAGACGAGGGCAATAATTGGGCTATTTTCTCCGAGATCACTTCTTGTCCCGCGACCATGGAAGCTGGAAAGGCCGCCGATGCATTCGGCCTTCTTCCTGGTCACGAAATACAGGTTGCCGATGGAGAATCTGCCTATACCCAGGCTAAGCTTGGTGGCCCGGCCACATGGGTCCGCTTGCCCAAGGATCGTTGGTTGCCCGAGTGGCATGGCAAATATCACGATCCGGTCGTACGCCTAGTGTTGGCTCTTTATGGGCATCCGGATGCCGGTGGTTTCTGGGAACAGCACTGTGAGAAGGCTCTTCGTTCAGTTGGGTTCGAGCAATGTCCCGACTGGAAAAGTGTATGTATTTCGTCATCCCAAGCTTAATCTTATGCTCGTGGTCTACGTCGATGATTTTAAGCTCAGTGGACCAAAGGCCAATCTGGCAAAAGGGTGGGAGCTCATGGCATCGAAGATTAAATTGGAGCCGCCCTCGAGCATCAAACGTTACTTGGGATGCGAGCATGTTACTTTCTCCCACGTTGTCCCTAGTGCCTTTGATCCGCGCTCCTATTGGACGCGCTTCGAGGAACCTAAGACCTAAGAAGGCGTTTCCCGAGCTGACGTTTGGTGATCGCGACACCAGTGTCGCGCAGGGCTCTGTTGGTCCTCGAGAGATTCGCATGATCAAATACGATATGCGATCGTTCATGGAACAATGTGTTTCTCGCTATGTTGAGCTCTGTGGCCCGAAGTATAAGGCCACCTTGCGGTCGGCTGATACGCCCTTCCTCGATGAATCACGACCGGAGTTCGATACCAATCCGGATCGACCTGCTGTGAACCGCTTATTGGGCCATCCCGCTGACACGCCTGTGCCTCCTGGTAAGGGCGTTCTCGGCGACTGTGCAGCCGCCGTTCTGATGAAAATTCTATATGGTGCTCGCATGGGGCGGTACGATTTAATCCGTCCTGTGCAGGCACTTGCCAGTCTCATCACCAAGTGGGATGGCTTGCGTGATAAGAAACTCCATCGACTGGTGTGCTATATCAACTCTACCCTCGATCTCAACTTGTATGGGTGGATTGGTGATGCACCCGAGATGCTGGAGCTCGTGCTCTACTGCGATGCCGATCTTGCGGGTGACCGCACTGATTCCAAGAGCACCTCTGGTGTGTTTATGTGTCTTCTTGGGCCGCGTAGCTTTATGCCTCTTAATGCTTTGTCCAAGAAGCAAACTTCTGTGTCGAAGTCTACCCCCGAAGCCGAAATTGTCTCTCTTGACCACGCTGTGTATAAATTAGGCCTGCCTGCTCTGTCTATGTGGGAGTATATGTTGGGCCGCCGTTTCCGATTACGGGTCATGGAGGACAATGAGGCCGCTATTCGTGTCGTTATCACTGGTCACAATCCGAACATGCGTCACATGTCTCGTACCCAGCGCATCGATATCTCTGCGTTGAACGAGCGTTATCACGCTGGGGATTTTCTGTTCGTAACGTGTCCCTCTCAATTCGAGGCTGGTGATATTCTGACCAAGGCCTGCACTGATGCTAAGGTGTGGGGCCGCAACCTTATGTCTATTGGCCACTTTCGTAAGGGTACTCTTATTTCCTCCGGTATGCTGTCTGCCGCTCCCGCTCTCCCTGCTCTCCCCTCTGTCTGTCCAACCAGGGGGGTACATCTTGAAACCGGACACAGCCCCTTCAACGATTTCATCCTCGACATGTCTCGTCAGGGGGGTGTTTCAATCGATGATGCTCACCAATTCGGAGCAGCAGTAAAATGTATTCATATCGGAGGCGAAGGCATAATCCGATTCCCTCATGCTCGAAGTATCAATCTCGGTCTCGATGATAATGCAAAAGGGATTGCTATTTCGAACATCAGGGTCCCGCCTACGCCTGCGGTATGTATTGTCACTGTTCCGATTGCTGGCACCGCTAACAAAAGAGAAGCTGGTTTCAAGAACAGGGGTTGGAAAGAAATGAGGGGCGACCTAAAGGAAAAAGGATGGGAAGCCAAGAAATTACTCGGGTATGCTTCCGCTGCCCGCTCATCCGGAATCCCTGTGTTCCTTGTGCTGCCGAAGGGAAACCCGTTGTGGGGTAGGGAGTATATACGACGATGGTCTGAGTCGCACGAGCTGTGCCCTGTTAAACTGTGCTCGTGCTCCTCTGGTCGATGTTCCCAGCATGCATGGATGTGTGAGATTTTCATGCCGGCCCGTTTTGGGCCCATCTTCATGTCGCGATTTGCATGCAATCATAAGAAGGTCAAAAGGGCCGACCCGAAGGAGCTTCGATTTGCATTGTGGACTGTGCTTGAACACTTCATAAACTCTGCAATCCTTGGCTCACAGCAATCCGCGTAGCCGATTGCTTAAACAAAGACGCCAAGGCCATGTTCACACACACACACACACACACACACTTGCAGACTTACACTTGACACAACTTGGTAAGGAGCTCTATGGACGACGATCATAGATCACCTTCATCAACCGACCATTACAGACCACCTCTACTACGACCCAGTCTATAGCCCACTTGCGCTCCCTGCTAGGACAGGTTGTAGCTGCCACGGGCTGCGAACTTCCCCGCGCTGCTGCCGCTGCTGATCGATGGGAGGAAAGAACAAGCAGCCACCGAAGAAGGCTGCTGCCAAGACGCCGGCTGCCTGATCACCCCAGCCGAAGTCTCCCTCGCTATGCAGGGAAGGCCTTCCGAGCGGTGCGGTCGCACCGACTACGGAAAGGCCTCCTGTTCCGCCGATTCCCACGGAGAAGGATGAATCCAACATGGGTACCGATGAAGCCCCTGTCCCGATTCAGACCCCGAGAGATGAGTCCACAGGGGGTGGAAAGCGCTCCGAGGACATTCCGATAGGATTGAGGATGAAGATGATGATGCTGAAGATTGGGATTCAAGAGATCCCACAGGCCTCAATCTGGCAACGCCTCGAGCAGCTGACATGCAACTCTGGGTACGATCTCAAGCTGCACCAGCTGGTTGACTCCTTCCTCCTCACTACTCATCCGCTTGCGGATAAGCAGAGGAAGCAGTACCCCCAAGAGTTTATGGATTTCATCGACCGATACAGGGTGATGTGCGCTCTTGCATTTTCCCGAGTGGCGACGTTGTCTGGTGACGCCGCTGGGGTCCGCGAGAAAATGGACCTTACGATGGCGCTGGCTCGCCACTGTATGCTTTTCCAAGCGCAAAGCTTTAAGGGATCCCGAGATATGCTGAGCAACGATACGCTCCAGCTCATGGGAACCTGCTACATCCCGTCGCCTCTTGCGAGCTGGAACCGAAATCTCATGGGATATAGCAGTTCGTCTGCTGAACAGCGATGGTTGAGGACCGATACGAGTATCAAACACAACGACCTCATCAAGCTGTCGCCCATGGAGTTGTCAAGGGAGGCGGTCAGCCCGGCTGAAGCTGTGAAGTTCTTCAAGGGATTTCTGCAGCTCAGGCCGACGCTGTCGTTCATCCCTGGAGCGTTTCTGGCGCTCAAGGCTCTTAACCGATTTCCCACGCTGGACTCTTTGAAAGAGCAAGCAACTCACCTCGATAACGATCGCAAGGAACACGGCTACGATCTTCCTGCCGTGGACGCGAATGGGATCGGGGAAGCAGCCGCCTTTCGCAACGAAGACGACGATGAGAATACCCCGTTGATGCGCGGGTGGGTCTCGTTCATGAAAGCGATGGTTGAGGCCTACCCCGGCCGGTGCGTTAGCGTCGATGATACGCTCAACTGGGGAGCCAGCACCCCTATGACCTATGAGGACGGTGCGGGGCAGACTACCATCCGCCCGACTGATGGATGGGTGTATGTCCCCGCGATGAATTCGGACATATACGATCCTCAGGAAACGTTCCTTCACGGAACGAACCTCCGATACCTCTGGTCGATTCTTGCGCACGGAGGTCTATTCGGGGAGGATTACGTGACGGACGATCATGGAAGTCACGAACCCTGTGTCTGGGTGACTGGACACGCTTCCGAGGCTGCCAGTAGCTACGCGTCTGGCACATACCTCGGAGGAGGATACTGGTTTCAAGTGATGATCTGCGTCTCCCGGACTGTGGTGAACACCCACGGTCGCACGACGAAGAAGCTGGGAGGATCCCAGAAACAGATCCGCGTCGGAACTCGATTCCTCGAGCTGTGCGGGATCGCGTTCAGGCCCTTCCGCCTTCTGGATGACCGCGAGCAAGGGGTTTCTACCTCTCCACAATACGTCATCCATGGTCACCGATTCCTTAGTTCCGACGGGACGAAAGCTGTGGCCTGGCACCCATGGATGGAAGCGAGCCCGATTGATCCTCGCATTCTGAAGCTGCTGGGAGAAAGCGTCGCTCGCGACAGTGTTGAGTTTGCCGACCTCACGATTCAATGGGGCAACACTACTCAACAGGTTGCTTCCACCGAGACGGAACAATCTAGGGCGACCGCGGCTGACGATCAGGCTGCGGAGGGTGGAAATGAGGAGACGGATCGAGTCACAGTCCACTCAGCAGTGCTTCGCCGCAACCACTGGATGCCTGACTCTCACGGGACCAGTGAACACGCCACTGTCGGTGGCAGGTATGCCTTGCTATCCGAACTTCAATCCTCCAGCTACCGATTCGAGCTTGCTCCATTCTTTCAGCTTCGAGCACCCATCATGGGAGAGGACGGAAGCCAAGGTTTGCCAAAGCCTGTAAGGCTCGAGACGATTGTCGGAGGACCCTCCAAGGAGTGGGAGGCATGGTGCAGACACTACCGAAAGGCATACGGTGTCATGCTCGGGAACTTCGGCTACACGCCCGCCAAGAGCCTCAAGAATATCCCGTACAGCGAAGAAGGAACAACGGATATTGTTAGTGCGCCGATTTGGAGCCCGGCCGATGCACTTGTGGCCGTATCGATCCATGGGGTCAGAACGGTCACGACCATGGCCTCCACGATTGCATTTGGGGGTGCACCGCCAACGATCAAGCCGGCGGTACCCAGCAAACCGCAGAGATTCGTTGTTATGCACGATGGCCTGCTGTCCTTCAAGTCTGCCATGTCTTGGCACGATGGTGAGATGAACGCCCATCTGAAGAACGCGCTGACGGATTTTGGGTTTCCTGATTCCGAGGTGCGCGTGCAGGCGTTCGACGAGGACAACAAACTCCAGGATATGGTCGACACTCTCGCGATGATGCAGAGCGAGACCTCCATCCCGCCATCGAATGTGCACGTCCTCATCCTTTGGAGAGGAGAGGATCTGTGGAAGATAGACCAGGGCTGGAACAAGCTAACTGGCGATATCGATATGGCACGATCTCAATATGCCAAGACGACCGCCCGGGATGCTCTCGAGAAATACAATACGATTTACGGATCGGTGTCCCTTTGCGGTCCGGTGTCGCCGAGCATGGTGTACCTTCCGACTCTCCCTGGCCCTCTCTTCGAGAAATACAGAGAGGAGATGAGATCGATCTGGGACGCGATCAGGAGATCCAACCTCCTTACCCTGTCTTTTGACGCTATCCTGGAAGGTCTGCCATACCTGAAGGGATATCATATTATGCATGAGTCCAAGACGATTGGGGTCCTATGTACCCGCATTTGCTCGATGTTCACTCTTGCTGCTCTCGCACGATTTCCATCTTACGGGACCCGCCGAGAGTATGAGATCGCTGCCGAGAAGATGTGGGCACGCACCCCAGTCCCGGAAGAGAACTTGCCGGGCGCGGTGAAGGCCATTGTGCACTCCACTGTGCAGGACCTCATCGATGGTGCAGATCGCGGCGCCGATCATCAAGCCGCAGGGACTGTCGACATGTCTCAGCTAGGTTTCGATGATGACGATGATGACGATATGCCTGACGACGTAGGTCCGACCGCTCCCGGGAATCCGATCAAACAGGAACAGGGAACATTGGCGGATCTACCGGGTGTTCGTCATCCGGATCCGATCGAACTGCCGGCTACTCCCGTGCCTGGCGAGGCAATGCCAGTGTCACCTGGCCTTGCTCCGACTGCCATGAATGATGAAGAATCTGGCAGCAGTTCCGATGAGAACGATCAGCAAGGGGATGGTGACGCGGCAATGCCCACAGTCAAAAAGGAGGAGTCCGATGAAGAGTTCAATGGGCTTCTCGAAGGAATGACTGAGGAATTCGCGAAAATGCCCGCTCCTCGAGATGCCGAGCGAACTGTCGCTGCCAATCGGGACGCTGCACGACCGCCTGCCGTGCCTTCGATTCCTCTCTCTACGATGAAGAAGCCGAAGCCGGTTGGTGGCGAGGAAGCCGCGGGGCCCACCGCCGAAAATCGACAAGCTTATGCGCACTTCGAGAGCCAAGTCAGTGAAGCTGAAGCTCGCCGCGAGCAAGCTGCGGCAATGAAGGCGCATATCGCTGAAGTGGCAAAGGGCGCCGCCGGTGTTGAGAATGCCGAACATCTTCGATCCATTGCCGATGGGCTAGCCAAGGTCTTGGACCCGAACATGAGCGACGACAACGTGTTTCAGGGTGCCTTGTATCCACCGGGTGACTATGCGCTTGACGCTGTCACGAATCGACTGGCTCAAGGCAGACGTCGGGTTGAATCGAACAGCAATCTCATCAGGGAGATGGCCAGCGACCGATTCACGCCTGTGCTCATCAACCGAGACACTGGTGAGACTGTGTCTGCCATCGATGCACGATGGACTCCAGAGTATGGAAACAGGGGGGAGCTTGAAGCTAAGGTTGGTGCGATCATTTCCAACCTGGATGCAGTGGTTGCAAGCATGTCAACCCTCCCTGTGTTCCATCCGCACATTCCGTCGACGTATGGTATGGCTCGATCGCTTCTCAACACATACCAGTCGTTGCAGATTGCCATCCGACACCGTGGCATGGGTGCGATGTCCTTTGAGCAGATGGTATTCAAACCAGAGGACCTTGAGGTTCCGACCCCCGATGATTGGCCGGACCTCATCGCGCCTACTCCTGGAAAAGTCATTCAATCCATGCGGGTGGCCCTGGTGAACAACACGGCGGCAAGGTTGACGAGAGAGGACCTCAAGCTGCCACCAGGCTTCGCCATGCAACGACGAGTGACTGAGTTCCGTAAGCCGGAGGAAGATCCAGTGCAGAGCCTGATGGGGCTCACCGATGACTTGAGCTACGGCACTACTGGTCGATCTGGGGATGACAGATTGTCCCAGTTCCAGCGTAGTATGGCAGTACAGCTGCGGAACACTGCTGGATTCCTTGCGAGTGAGTTCCAGAAGCATGCCCGATCTATTGCCGCTTCTTCCTCGCGTCGCAGTGATGCTTCAGGTGCCCTGAGTAGCCAGGGTGATGGCGCGGCGGACAACGATCTTCCGTCCACTGAACAGGTTAGTGTTGCATCTGAGCGCGCGTTTGCGCCGCCTCCGCCAAACGTGGCTCCTCCTCCTCCGCCTACTGCGGCAGCACCTCCGAGGGCGTCCGAAGAGAGTGCAAAGGAGGATGACGATGATACCAAAATGGATGATGACACGGCCGGTCAGAAACCCGAGCAGAAACCCGAGGAGGACGCGGATATGGGTAGCGGGAAGGAGCTGCAAGACGAGGTCCCCGGCAAGGCCCCGCCGCCAGCTGCTCGAACCGCTGAGAGCCCTCCGAACACGGCCTGCGTTCCAGTCCTCCGAATGACATGGTTGCCCAGGGAGCCGCGCTCTCCGGTGCTCGAGGACCGGAAGTCGATATTGATCCGGCCAGCACCACAGCCGATCAGGCCGCAAATGATCCGAGAAACTGCCGGATCGAGGGCCCTGGTATCAAGGCGACAACGATTCATCGCCCTGATCAGCTGCCCGAAAGGGGTATTGACTCCATTGCGCCGATCGTGCAGTACGAAATGACGTCTGTCCCGATTGCACTGCCAGATTTCGTCGTTCCGGGACTCGACATGGGCATCGATGACTCCGTCCATGGTCGATTGGTCTCTGCGACCTGTCTTCCACCGACTGACGAGCAGCGCAAGTATTCAAGACGCCGATTTGCTATGCTGTCCTCGAATCAGACAGTGTACTTGGGTATGGCGCTTCACAAGAAACCGCTTAAAGGAGAACACGATTCTTTCCTCCGACCGGAGTCTTATGAGGACTGCCGCGAGATCCATGAAGCTGTCCGAGCCTACAATGCCAAGGAGGCGACATACCGATCCATCGGCGGAACATCAGTGTCGTGCAGCCGATTGCTCATCGATGACGCACAAAATATCCCTGCCGCCAGGATTCCAGACGCAGGCATGATCAGTTTGGTGCGTAAGCTGCTGTTCCGAGTGCTGACGCAAACAAAGGAGCGTCCATCCTCGACTGCCGCCGGAGCACAGAACCGCCCCCAGGACAAAGAGAGGGGCGTCCCATTGTATTCATTCCTCGACCAGAGTGGCATCATCGCTTTCGATGTCATTCCGATGTACATGGAACGCGAGAGGGAATACATGAAGGCCAACGCTGGCGAGTTCAGTGGCCGGACGCTTCTCCAGACTAGCATTCTGGACGATGACGATAAGCCGAGTGAGCTCACCGTCCGATGCATTTCGGAAATTGCTCGAACGGACAACAACCGAATGTTTGAGTTCTTCTACTCGACAATCAACGACGATGGAAGTCCTCAATTTGTTGGCGTCCGAGCAACCTATGGTTTCGGTCCCGATAACTTCAACCGATTCCGATTGCTGATCAAGTGTCAGCACGGGCCATTCACTCAGCTCGCTCAAGAACATTACGTCAATGGTGAGAGGAAACGAAATGTGGCCCGATACCATCCCCAGTACGGATGGGGATGCGCAACGATTCGCGAGTTCTTCGGATACATGAACGATTGCAAGCTCAACCCCCCAAAGGGGCAGCTCTTCCTCACACTGCTCCCGTATGCCCCTGGATCTGGGAAGAACAACGAGTGGGAAGAGATGTACATGAACGTCCGAATGAACCCGGGACGTGAGACGCTCTCGAACACCGCGTCATCACAAAGCATGCTCCCCGAAGGTATGGGATCCAACCGCATGATTGTGTTCGCGATTGATTTGCACATGATTGCAGCAGGTATCAATCCGATTGCATTCCATCCGAGAGGGTACTATGCGATCAAGGACAGTATCCCTCTCGCATGTATGCCGATTGCATACTTCATGGATACGGGATCTCTAGTGTTCAACACGGCCTTCAAATACATCGGAGGCCCGAAGTTTGGCACTGGACCCAAAAGGGGAGACCACAGACGAGAAACGTGGCCACTCGCTAGCTTCGACTGCCCCATGTGCGGAGCTTCATTCCCTGTTGGTCTCCACATGTGTCACTCTTGCACTAAGCCGATTCACTATCCTGATGGGATGTTTTACGCCGATCCTGTGAACCCCTTCCAAGTTGAATATTACGGGAGCCATGCTGAGTGGCTCAATGATCTGATCGAGCGTAATAAGCTTACCGAATTCCAGCTTCACGAGTTTCCTGCGATCAAGCAGCTGAGGAATTTCCCGGTGTCTAGGTCTCTCGCTGAGGACCATAGGCAGACCGCATTCTTCGGAGTGCCACCGATCAAGTGCACCGCTGCTGACACATCGCCGAAGGAAGTGGAACTGTTCAAGAGAAGCGTGCGCGGTACGATTCAGGGCGCCATTCGCTTGGACATTTCCATTGAGAGGCTTGTTGCCGGTATCACTGGCAAGGAAGCTCGATGTGGAGTAGAAGACTTCTTCAAATCACAGTCGATCGCATGTGCTGCCACGATAGTCAAGCACTTTGGAGCGGTCTTCGCCACATGTCGCGAAAAGCCGTTGTGCTACTATGCACGTTGGTCGATTCACTGCCAGCGCGCATATCGAATCTGCCTGTCGCGAGGGTATCTATCCCCCTATTACACAGGTGTGACGGTCGATTATACCGTCGACCAAGAGATGGCAGAAAAGATCCGACTTGCTCATCTGCCCTTGCAAAACGCCAATCTGGCGATGAGGCGGCACATTCGACTCTCCACCGAGTTTGGAACGTTGGATGAATTCCGTGCCACTATCACGGATACGCAAAAGTATCAACGATATATGCGTGTCGACAGTGAGAGCCTTTCCGCGCTCCTGGCCAAGGTTACCCTTACCACATGCTACGGCATTCCGGCAAAAGGTGAGCCTGGCTATATCTCTGACGATGAAGCAGAAGAGATCGAAGGAGCCGCAGCGGCAAGCGAGAAGCCCAAAGGGAAAGGCAAAGGGGAAGACGAATCCAACGTCCAAGCCATCAACTGGCGTGAGTTGGATCCCTTAGGACGGAAGCTTATTCCGCATCACTCTGATCCCCGATTCACGATTATTGCTGAGGGGAATACGGCACTCCTTGATGCAGCCGAGACGCCGGAAGAGACGCGTAAGGAATTCAAGGAGTTCGTTCGCGATCACTCTATCAAGATCAAAGAATGCTTTGACGATGATCGTGCGACAGAGAAGACATTCTTCAATCTTGTTGAAGGTGTCAAGGATCAGCTTCCCGATGCAAATAGCACTGACCCGCTTCTGATGAAAAGGGCTGAGGACGTCTTCGAGGCTCTCCCCGATGAACTGGATGATCCTCCAAATGTGATCGATGTTGCGGCTCGCCAGGCACGGCGGAGAGACCCTGCACCTCAGCGCAGAGTGCAGGTCACCGAGCAAAGACAAGCGCCAATCCCCGAGGCTCATGCCGTTCCCATTCCTACAGATGACGAGGATGAGGATGATACTGAGCTCGATCGAGCAGTACGACCCGATCCAACATTACAGCGCACCGGACGAGAACATCACGGAGGTGTCGCTCCCGAGACGACTCCGCCACCGCATCATAACATGCCGCCGCCATCAAATTTGCCGACTCGAAAATCACATCGGCAAACAGGCTACGGAGCAGCCCACCCTGATGGAGAACCGTTAATGGTGTCGGGGAGGGCAGAATACTCCGATCGAATGCGGTTGCCCTCAGTGTTGCGAATGAAGACTCGGATTCCGGAGTCGGATCTGGATAACCCGACGATTGAGGACATCATTCGCATGTACCATGCGCCGAACACGCTTTCCATCATCAGGAACAAAGCCGCAGCCGTCATCATCGCGATGGGCGCAAATCCCGATGACGATATTAATATGAGGGCGGCTGGCGTTACTGTTCCCCATACCGGGAGTACGGGGACGGGGCGAGCAGCGTCGCCTGGAAGTACGTCCGTTGCTCCTGTCTCGGCACCTAGCGTTCGCACTGCGTCGAATCCGCCATCGAAGTTGCCTCGCGACGAAAAGTGGGCTCCCTCGATTGCGCGACCAGCGCCGGCTCAGGTGATCAGAAGTGCAGAAGCACGGGGACGCACGCAACAGCGTGATGCTGAAGAAACGAGTGCTGCTCCGCCAGCTCCTTCCGATACTGCCTCTTCGGAGCCGCGATCTCGAACGATGGGCCCAGCCAAAGAGATCACGGCTAAGGGCAAATCCCGAACCGGATCCAACGTGACAGGCCTCATCGATGAAACTGATGACACGAGGCAGCCGACGAAGGGCAAAGGAAGAGGGAAAGCCGAGAAAGGAAAAGGAAAGCAGGAGAAAGGCCGAGGAAAGGGCGATAAGGGAAACAAAGGAAGGGGCGGTTCTGGACGAGGAAATAAGGACCGCACCCGTAGCCCCACAAGTCGTAGGTGACGACCGTCAACATATGTAGCGACGTATTGTGTCAATGCAAGGTGAATCCGGTTGTGAATCTTTCTGACCCTTGCGTCACGCGATTGCGGGGTCAGGCGGAGTCTGATGGTGAAGCCCGGCTATGACACAATTTCCGCTACTTCCTCAGCCTTCCTTGCCTGCGCCGCGCTGAGAAGACCCACAGGGGTACAATGGTTAGCCATGGTATTTTCCTCGTGTGTCCCTCTCTTTTCACGGACACTCGATGCTGCCGAGTTTACACTCTGAGCGCGTTGAGTCTAGTGTGTTACCCCCGCATAGATCCGATGGAACATCCGATTGCCAACGATCACACGGCAATTCGCTATGCACCTGACGATCACAAAAAGGCTGCGTCTGTACAGAAGTGAAACATAGGTTTGATCCGGATGCAGAGACCGACCCACATCTAATGGTGCTTACTGCTTTAAGCTTAGCTGACCGGAAGAGGTGTGGCTCGGTGCACAACCAGTGTACGTGACTCTCCTAAACTCCGCTCTTCTCACGCGTGAGCTCGCGTCGAGGGGGGTGTGATTTGTCACGGACATGCGTACATGTGCTTCTGTGTCTTGGTTAGGATTCAGGCCAACTTTGTCTCACTGCGCAGCTTGACAGCTCAAGACCGACTCTGCGTCAGGTCCAGCAAAAGGCCCGCCTTCACTTAGGGTAGTGTTGGTGTTTCCTTTCCGCTGAGCATCAATCTTACGGTTTTAATCTCTGATCATCCTTGCTTTGCCTGCTGCCTTGCCTTTATCTACGATTGGTTGCCTTGGGCTTTGTGACCGAGAGTTGAGTGGAATCCTCCGCTTTTCACACCAAGGTTGGCCGTCAAAGCAGACAAAGGAGTAGAAGAAGAAAAAGGGAGCGAACCTTCGCCGCCGAGCGAGCGCCAAGGAATTTCGAGTTTTTCGAGTAAGAGTTCGTCGCTGTCTGGAGGAACACCCGAAGGAGAACCAATGGACGACGAGAGCGATGATGATGACGACGACCCAGGAGAGGTGAGAACAAAGAGAAAAGCGGAAGAAGAATTGGTACCCGATGAGATGACGCTAGAAGAGTTTCAAAGAGAGATTGCGAAAAGAAGTGCAGAAGAAGAAGGAGAAGGGTCACTAAAGAAAGGACCAAGAGTAGACGAAGGAACTGGAGAGGTAGAAGAAAGAGTTGAAAAAGCGCCAAGACTTGGAGGAGAAGTGCGGCGCGAGTGGAGTACCACATTCGGAGATTCGCCAAGAGCGAGGATCCCGAAGAGCATGGAGATGAGTATGTTGATCTCGACGAGACACAGCTGTTTCTCGAAGAAAGTCGAGAGTTCCAGAGCAAGTGGAACGAGAAGGTGTGTGAGACAGAAGAGGACCTAACGGTTACTTGGTCTCACGAGTATGATGATGGGCCACCTAAGTTGGAAGCTGAAGATTTGGAAAAGGTGGACCTGAAAGCGGAGAAGACAGAAATCGAGAGACTGTTGGAGATGAAAGTTCTCAGAGAAGTGGACCTGGATGAGAATGGAGAGTTGAAGAAAGGACCGAATGGAGAAGAACCAAAGAGACTCAGTACAAAGTACGTGCTTGATTGGAGGCATAGGGACCTCCAATGGAAGAGGCGCGCACGCCTAGTGGCGCGAGAATACAAGTGGCTGACAGACTACGATCTATCAGCGCTATACTCACCAACGAGCATTGGTTCGAGTATCAAGCTGTTGTCAGCTTTGTGCGCGAGTTCAAGAGACTACGAGATGATCTCGATAGACATCTCTGACTCGTACCTTCAAGTGCCACAGAAGGAGTACACAGTTGTGAGTTTAGGAGGAAAGTGGTACCAACTGCAGTCACCCTGCCGGGACAACGAACAGGAAGCAGTGATTGGTTTGAGCATCTACGTGAAATCCTGGAGAAAGAGAAGATGGTTTCCGATGTGGGATTACCAAGTTTCTTCTACAAGTTTTTAGAAACGCCAGGAGAAGGTGGAACGCTCATGAGTACCCATGTGGAATGATCTGGAAGTGTTTGGAAGACCGAAAGAGAACCAAGCGGTAGTTGATCTGCTGCTGAAGCACAAGCTGAAGATAGAATTGGAAGGTCCAGTGAAGGTTGGAGAAGGAAAGTGTACTTTCTTGAAGAGGACGTTCTTAGGAACGAAAGAAGGAATTGAGATCAGGATGGACGGCAAGTATCTGGAGAAGTTGGAAGAGATTTTAGGTTTGGGTAAGGCCCTGCCAAAGAAGTTGCCGTTTCCAATGGATTACGGAAGATCGTTGAAGGACGACACGCCTTTGGATGCAGATGAGCACCATCTGTATAGATCCTGTGTAGGAATCCTATTGTACATGACGCCAGAGAGACCTGACTTGGGATTCGCTACGAAGTGGTTGTCAGGAAAGTTGGCAGCGCCAACGCGAGGAGACTTAGCAGTGCTTAGGCACGTGGCAAAGTACGTGAAAGCGACAGCCCATTACGTGATAGAACACAAAGAGGCATATCCTGGAAAGAGTTTTCTGGATCCAAGTGATAAGAGAATTGAGAATGCCTACAAAGATGTCTTTACGGCAAAGAGTTTGATCGAGGTAGTGACCGACGCCGACTGGGCGACCGACCGTGAGAATAGGCAGTCAACGAGCTGCGTCTTGATTTTCGTGAACAGCAACATCGTTTACTTTCACGCTAGGAAGCAAAAAGCGACAGCTTTGAGCAGCTGCGAGAGTGAACTGGTAGCAGCCGTTGGAGGTTTGAGTGAAGGAGTTTATCTGCAGAACCTGTTGCACAGAGTTCTTGGGATTAGTGATGAAACATTACATCCCTGCCCTTTGTACACACGTTGCTTGAACAGTTTTACATGTGTTAACACGTGATTTTGGCATGAGCCCAATTTCATGGAGCACATTGTGAATTGCAGAACTCCGCTACTTACCAGGCTCTGAGTTTGTGGAAAAGTCCGATTACGTTTTCATGGTAGCGGAGCTGGGCCGACCCAGCTTCGAGACACGTTTGTGGGACACCCAAGGGGTTCCCTTTTCTTTTCACGTCTTGGGGTCTGTTCAGGGGCCATCGGGCGTGAACTTTTCTTTTCTGACTTTTGGGTTGAGGGTCTAGGTGTGTAGTCACCTGCGGCCCCGATTCGCTCGCGCCTCTTTCCGGCAGCACGGCTGCCTCATTGGCTTCTCTGGAGGCCATCAAGGCCAGAGTCACAGAACTGCATCTTGAGCAATTGCTGCAGCGTGAACGCCCTCCTGGCAGATCCGCTGAAGGGTGGCAGAATATCTTGAGTACCGCCCAACGTTCGCTGGAGGCGAACTTGGCTTCTCTGGAAACTACTCAGCAGGTGTGGGACTTTGCCCACCGGTGTTTGAAGGACAGCCACCTCAAGGAAGTTTTTCGGTACTTTGCAGTTGACGACGTGTGTGACGAAGCAATTCCTGAAGCCTTGATACACAACACAGTCTTTGCGACAGAGGAGCGCGATTTGGAAGCTTTCAGTTTTTCTACAGGTGCTGCTTCGAGTGAGGCCGCGTTCTCCGAACTGCAGGCCCCTCCGGACCAGCCGATTGATTTGCAAAGGCCCGAGCCCCGACGCACATTTGGTGCCAATCTTTGTTTGAACAGTTGCAAGGAGGTGATTGATATTGATTGAGTGCCCTGCTTACAGAGCAATGGCGAATATTGGTGATGAGACAGATGAGGAGCTCACAGGCCCCTCTGGAGCCACCGCCTGAGCGCAAGCATTTGGTCCTGCGCCCTTTGCACAGCCAATACCTACAAACCCTTTTCAGCCAACGAGCCCTACCAATGCTGGAACTGAGATTGCTATGACTGCTGCCGACCTGCGAGTCCTCATGCAACGCATGTCAGAGGCTACACAAGCTGCCAGTGCAGCTGCTCAAGCAGCCGCTTTTGCAAGCGCTGCTCAAGGTTCCCGACCTATGGGAGTTGGAGACCTTACCAAGGTTCTGCCGAAGCCGGATCCCTTCCGGCCCACTACGCGTGATGAGGAGTTTGCGCAATGGCCTCAGTGGAGCTGGACGTTCGAACAGTATTTATCATGCTTGGAACCTGAGTTCAGCAGTGAGCTTCGTGATTATGGCCGTCAGCAGACAGCAGTGATCTTGAGTTCTTTGGACGAGAGTGCCAAGCGGCGGTCTCGGCTACTGTACGGCATGCTGAATTGCCTACCTAGGACCTAGGGCGCCCAACGGCATGTAAATATCCATGCCGATACGAATGCTTACACTTGCCGTCGAAACGCATGGATCTTAAATTAAAATCCATCACTCATGTAATTTAGGAAAACACACACTTTTCGATTATTCTGCACATCGTTTGGCTAAGCATAACCTTATAACCCGGGCCCCCTGGAATCCCCACATTAAGTGCTTCTTCACCACAGTATGTCGATGTCATGCTATGCTGGGTAGCCCAATTGAAGTTTCACGTAGGGACCTTGCCAAAGAAACCCGGAAGCAAAGCCTTACTCCAAATAAGCTATAGCTGTATCATATAAGTTGATCAAAGCCACATTCGTAAACAAAATCCTATGGGGTTGCTAGCTTAACCAAACCCTGCACAGCAAGCTTTACATCCCCAAGCCGAGGTCGAAAACTCGATCTACAATCACATTGCCGTGGGCAATATCTTCACTTCCTTAAGGAACCCTATGATACTTGCCCTGGCTATGTCCATAGATGGGAATGCCAAGCCTATAGTACTAAATTATCAGGTTGGCCCAGGCATGATGGAATTGCTGCAGCAGTCCTCTGGCTTTAGTGGCTTATACAGTATCGTTCAATGCAGATCTACTTGTCGTTCCATATATAGTCTAAAAATATCTAAGTGTCTAGTGCTCAACCTTTAAGGAGCCAACACTGGGATGTGTGTATTCACTTGCAATACTTACCTGTGCATGTTACGCACATATATTAGGATGTTACATGCATTCACACATACATGCATACAGATACTACGCATGCTCCATACATGGCGACGGCATAGTGGGGAGTGTCGCCATCGACAATGCTGAAGCCAGTGGTCCTCCTGATCTTGGCAAGGTCTCGCTGGCTCTTATTGGTGCCTCTACATCAGGGGGTTCTGTTAATTGCATGCCCGATCGAGTTGTGCATGCTTGCATGGCATATATGTTGAGCAACATTGGAACCGTGCATGCAGAGACTTCGGCTTCCAGCTTATGCGCACTACTGTGTGCGGACTGCATGAATGCATGTGTAACCTGTAGCTAGCTACGTAGCTGTGGGCAGTCAGGCATGTTGCGACGACTAAGCTGTGCGTCTAGTGGTCAGCATGACAAGCCTTGCGGAAGTATGGGCTTCACTGCCTGGACTGAAGGAGCGTGGGGCTTCCGGGCGGCTCGTTATCGGGCCTGTGAACCTTCAGCGGGCTGACTTGGACTTCAACTGGAATATCACAGGTCATGCCATTCTTTGGGTGGGAGTGAGACCAAGTGTGGACCCCATTGCCGATAGCGTGCATATGACCCGGGTCAAAGGGGCCAAACCGGCTTCACGACACTTAGCTGTTAAGTTCTGCTGATCGATTGTGATGCGCGCAAATATGTTTCCAAAGAGTGCCTTGGCTAAGGAGACTTTTGTAAGGCTGCAGCGTGGAAAGTGCGGAACCTCATCACCATGTTCTGCGCGATACTAGTGTGCATGATTTTGGAGCCTTTGCTCGCGTGGTCTTGATTGAGATAGCCTTGGGCCTTTAAACTTGCATACCCTGTACAACCCAGGATAGCGAAGAAACCACGCCGGCCTCGCGAACCCAATATCATTCGGCTTTATCAGCTGGTGGTGGGAGTGCCAGTCCCTGAAGGCAAGGCTCTTGCACAGACTTTTGCAAACCATCTTGTGAAGTATATCTATATAATACCTAGATAGGTAAGCCAAACCCGAATTTCCCAGGTCGCAGTCCTCACCAATCCATCGACGATGCCCAGGCAGCCTGGGGAAACAGGGTATGAACTCGTCACGGTGGTGTGTGCATGGGGTCAGTTATTAAACGGATCACCTTTATATTACATAAATTTAATAGCCCATGTATGCTAATCTCATTGTATCGCAGGGAATGCCTATCGCTGTCCACGTTCTAATCTGTCCCGTGCTACCTCGTAAACCCCTAAAAGTTAGCGGCAAGCCGGCAAAACCGTAACACCAAATCCTGGGCCAACTATAGAGCTAAAGTACTCTATGCAAATTGGTGGTTGAGCTGTGGGGCCCTAGGTGCTTGAAGAGATTGGTGACGGTGAGGAAGGGGAAGAAGAATGTGCGACAGAGGATGACATGATTGATGAAGAGGTTGCCATGTCAGCTGTGGAAGCAAGTGGGGATGCAAGTGCTGAGTGTGTGGATGCCCACGCAACTGGGATCCCCGAGCCGGCCTTGACAGGTCCGCCGACAGCCGTTGTGCAGTCTGATACAGGTGAGAGTGTGGCTCATCCAGCTGTTCCGGTGCCCGTGACCGATGCTGTTGCACCGGCTGCTGCAGTGCCAAGCTTGTTGCCCCCGCAGCAAAACCCATCCGGTGCACTTCAGCGCGTGTGCACCAGTGCCTTACTTTGCATTTACATAGGTAGGAATGTGATGTGCAACGGGTTTGCAGTGCACATGCATGTTCTGTTTAATGCAGAGCATGCGGAGCATGAGGTGATTCTATCACGACTTGTGCTTCAACCATTGCCACCCCCCCGCCGAACCGACCACACCCTGGTCTCCGCCGTCATCCACGGAGAAGCTTCCTCTTCCTGCAGACAGGAAGCGAGCTATCCTGCAGGCTCTCGAGAGTGAGTGTGCAACCATTGAGATGCTGCTTAAGGCCAAAGGGGACTTAGCCGCGAAGAGGGCATTCGAAGCTGCCCGAGAGCGAGTGCCAGAGCCGAGTAGCTTGATTCAGCATTGAAGTGTTTGTTATAATGGTATGGGTGTCGACCATATCGACACGTACCCCATGGACACCGGTGTGGCCGAGGATGTGTTGCAAGCTGCACGGATCGAAGTTCACCAGCGTGAACTGCAGCAGTCGGTGCAGGAAGAGTCTCAGCCAAAGCCAGAGCTTTCGGCTGATCTTCGTGGCGCAACCTTGATTTTGGGGCAGGTGCGACCTGAACCGGAGCAGGGGGAGGCCGAAGACGACAACAGGACTGTTTACTTCGATGCCGAAGATTTGGCTTTCCCAGATGACAGTCGGGTCGCTTATGAGGAGCCAAAGCCCATTGAGCCTTCGGTGGCGACAGAGGAGCCATCACATGAGAAGCCCAGTGAGACTTCGATGGCTATAGAGGAGCCGTCAGATGAGAAGCCCACTGAGCCTTTGGTGGCTGCAGAGGAGCGGACAGATGATGAGCCATCAGATGAGGAGGCTAGCGAGGCTTCGGTGGCTATGGAGGAGCCGTCAGATGAGAAGCCCAGTGAGAATTTGGTGGCGACAGAGGATGCGCTTTTGGTGGCTGCAGAGGAGCCGACAAATGAGGAGCCATCAGATGAGGCTAGCGAGGCTTCGGTGGCTATGGAGGAGCCGTCAGATGAGAAGCCCAGTGAGAATTTGGTGGCGACAGAGGAGCCATCAGATGAGAAGCCCATTGAGCCGTCGGATGAGACACCCGACGAGCTTTCGGTGGCTACTGAGGAGCCAGCAGATGAGAAGCGCACTGAGCCTCCTTCTGAATCCAGAGGCTCAGTTCAGCCACCCCTTCCGATGCCCGCTTGTGCCCGACATTTGGCTGTTGTCAGCCCAGCCGAACAGACTGCAGGCCAAGCAGCCAAGAAAGAATCTGGCAAAGGCCGCGGTAGGGGCCGTGGCAGATCCAAGAAAGGATCTGGCAAGGGCTGTGGTAGGGGCCGTGGCAGCTCCAAGAAACCTGGCAAGGGCCGTGGCAGATCCAACAAAGGATCTGGCAAGGGCCGCGGCAAGGGCCGTGGCAGAGGCTGTGGTGGAAAGGCCAGCAAGCCGTTGCCGAATGAGGAGGCCTTGGCGGGTGTGCCCACCCGCAGTCGTGGAAGAGGCCGTGGCCGTGGCCGTGGCAGTGAGGGGCCGGATGCCATGGCGTCTGAGGCCAATGGCCACGAGGAGGGTGATGACAAGCTGTGCAACCGCAAGAAGGGTGCTGTGCCAAAGACCAAGACGAAGGCTGAGAAGCCTAAGAAGGGTTCCGAGGTTGAGGAGACGCGGAAGGGATCAGCAAAGGCCAAGTCGCGGAAGGCCAAGCCGAGCGATGATGAGGATACAGCTGCTCGCGGGGAGTGTGAAGAGGCAGAGCCCAAGCGCAAGAAGGGGAAGAGGGATCAGGAGGTTGTGGCGCCGGTTCCCAAGGAGTCCGTGCCCAATCGCAAGAAGGGGAACAGGGCTCAGCCGGCCGAGGAGGCAGCCCCTGAGGCTGCCCCTAAGCGCAAGAGGGGCGCTGCTCAACCCGAGGAGGAGCTGACAGAAGAGCAGAAGCAGAAGAAGCAGCTGAAGAGCCGCAAGAGTTGTGCTTACCACTGGGCCCGCCTTAACGCCATCAACCTAGGGTTTTCAGAGGAGGAAGCCAAGAAGCAGGGTCAGGAGGTCTCTTGCCCAAACTGTTCTTGCATACCTATGTACAATTTGTGATCCTCTGTGTCGTTGATTGCTCAGGCTTACAAGGACACCGTGTGAATGAGAAGATGACGAGCCGATGCTGTGTGCTTACACACGGTGCTTGAGCTTCCGCTTCCTGGTATGTTGCAGGGCTGAACAGTCAACCTCTGCCAGCTATGATTTTCAGGGACTTGCGCAGGCTTCGTGAAGGGGGTATGGAGATGTGCAGCCAATCTCAATGGCAATCCGAACAGCGGCACTAGTGCTAGTACGTGCATGACCACGTGCGGGCTTTGTGTGCTTCCGAAAAGAACAACTGTGGCTCTGCCTGCCTCTTCGTGTCTTGCGAAAGCTAGGAAGCATCACGACTGTGGCTGTGCACTCTTTGCAATATATATATATATATATATATATATATATATATATATATAATATCATTCAAGTGCAGCCATCAGCAGCTCTTATGCCAGGTGGTGCTGTGGATCTACATGCGTGGACTCCCCGAGCACTTTGCCAGAACCCGTTGCTGTGCGCCAGCTGCTATGTGAAACGTGCTTGACTATTGGAAGAGCTCTAGCCTTCGACATGCAGGGCTTAGTGCTATAGAGCTGATGCATTC